GGAAGAGTGAACTGCATGGCCGGAGCCAGAGCTCAACCTTTGACATTGCCACTGCAAAGAAAGCTCTATATTGATCTGTTCATTTATTTATTTTTTAACTTTCGCTTATGAAAATGGAAAGGCCTAACTTGTTTTTGTAGCTATATATAGTTTTGTTAATTTTGTGCACACCCTCAAATTGTGCACTTCTTAGCTTATAGCTATCCGCAATATTCATAGAAAAGTAAAGTTTGTCATATATGCGAATGACAATTTTCAAAGAATGTTATATAGTTAATGTATTTAACTAAAAAAATTAAAATTTTGTAGCTAAAAAAGATCCCCAACAATTTGCATCTTGTTCGACGAACCGTCATGAGAAGAACTCTTTACTAGCCAAGGGTTTTGATTGATACGATAAGACATGGGTTTAGATCATAACAATACTGATTCGGTACTGCAGTTGTCTTTATCAATCATGTTATATGTACATCATTTTTTACATCATTGTTTATATTGTGTCACGTGACAACACACCATTGGACAGTTTAAAAAAAAAAAAACACATTTCCCACCCCTATTTTTTCAAAAACAAAGGGGATGTCATTGATAATGTAATCCAATGAATGTACATTTAGCATTATTGTTGCCTTTACATGTTCTATATCAAAACAATCATTCCGTTGACCAAAAGGATCGACTTGGATAAATCAAAATCGTAAAAGTTCAGGCCATGTTTCATGCCCGTATCGAAGGTTTCTTGTTTGTGGACTAGGAATACTTTGGTTATGGTTACATATCGTCCCGCATGCACACCAGGGGCTGATTATTACCTACGAGTTGAACCGGAGGCATGTTTCCAGGCGTCATCATTGCTGCCCAAGCATGATTTCTTCGAGCAAATTGATGTCCTAATTGAAGGGCAAGCTGATGAGCCTCCGAAACAGTAACTCGAGCAAACATGTTAAGAATATCTTGGAATTTCTTCTGTTGCGTGCAACCAATCCAAGAATTCCTCCACATCAATCCCTTCATGATATTCGGGAAGGTCGAATTTGAATCCAGATTCTCACTGGCGCCATTCTGGTTCTGTGTCATCGAACCGATTCTCCGACCTGCTGCACTCAAAACTTCAGTGGACTGAGCCACGACATCTTCAGACCATCTTCAGGAGCGTTGACAAAGCCTTAATACCAACTCGCACAGGCTGGAACACAGTAGAACAACAATCACGACAATCAAGCAATTAACAAGATTGAATTTGGGAGAGCAATTCTCTCGGGAAAACATTTTTTATATCAAAAGGTCCAACCCTCAAACCTGAATTACAAGCAATACTAAATAGAAAGAAGTCGCCGAAATTATAACCATTCCTTATTCACAGTTTTATCACCAACTAATCCCAGTTCCCTTCACCAAAGGGTAAAATATCAGGAAAGTTTGACAATAAATAAATTAGAAAGAATTGAAAATTGAAATGCTGAAATTCTGGTTACGCAACAACGATTATAAAAAATAATAAGATGCACTCAGGGGAAAACTTGGAGACAAAATAGAAGAAAATGATGGTTTAAGATTCTGAGGAAGACCTATAGTTTACCACAAAAACTATAGCAAAAAACTGTACAGGGATCTTTTTCTTCCGGAAGAGTGAACTGCATGGCCGGAGCCAGAGCTCAACCTTTGACATCGCCACTGCAAAGAAAGCTCTATATTGATCTGTTCATTTATTTATTTTTTAGCTTTCGCTTATGAAAATGGAAAGGCCTAACTTGTTTTTGTAGCTATATATAGTTTTGTTAATTTTGTGCACACCCTCAAATTGTGCATTTCTTAGCTTATAGCTATCCGCAATATTCATAGAAAATTAAAGTTTGTCATATATGGGAATGACAATTTTCAAAGAATGTTATAAAGTTAATGTATTTAACTAAAAAAATTAAAATTTTGTAGCTAAAAAAGATCCCCAACAATTTGCATCTTGTTCGACGAACCGTCATAAGAACTCTTTACTAGCCAAGGGTTTTGATTGATACGATGAGCATGGATTTAGATCATAACAATACTGATTCGGTACTACAGTTGTCTTTATCAATCATGTTATATGTACATCATCTTTTACATCATTGTTTATATTGTGTCACGTGACGACACACCATTGGACAGTTTAAAAAAAAAACACACACACACATTTCCCACCCCTACTTTTTCAAAAACAAAGGGGATGTCATTGAGAATGTAATCCAATGAATGTACATTTAGCATTATTGTTGCCTTTACATGCTCTATATCAAAACAATCATTCCGTTGACCAAAAGGATCAACCTGGATAAATCAAAATCATAAAAGTTCAGGCCATGTTTCATGCTCGTATCGAAGGTTTCTTGTTTGTGGACTAGGAATACTTTGGTTATGGTTGCATATCGTCCCGCATGCACACCAGGGGCTGATTATTACCTACGAGTTGATTGGCGCCAACCGGAGGCATGTTTCCAGGGGTCATCATTGCTGCCCAAGCATGATTTCTGCGAGCAAATTGATGTCCTAATTGAAGGGCAAGCTGATGAGCCTTCGAAACAGTAACTCGAGCAAACATGTTTAAGAATATCTTGGAATTTCTTCTGTTGCGTGCAACCAATCCAAGAATTCCTCCACATCAATCCCTTCATGATATTCAGGAAGGTCGAATTTGAATCCAGATTCTCACTGGCGCCAATCTGGTTCTGTGTCATCGAACCGATTCTCCGACCTCCTGCACTTAAAACTTCAATGGACTGAGCCACGACATCCTCAGACCATCTTCAGGAGCGTTGACAAAGCCTTAATACCAACTCGCACAGTCTGGAACACAGTAGAACAACAATCACGACAATCAAGCAATTAACAAGATTGAATTTGGGAGAGCAATTCTCTCGGGAAAACATTTTCTATATCAAAAGGTCCAACCCTCAATCCTGAATTACAAGCAATACTAAATAGAAAGAAGTCGCCCAGTATCAGGTCGGGTCACGGCCAGGCACCATTTTTTCACCGGCATCAGGACTCTTCGCCATCTACGTCAGAATCTAATGCAAAAAATTATAACCATTCTTTATTCACAGTTTTATCACCAACTAATCCCAGTTCCCTTCACCAAAGGGTAAAACATCAGGAAAGTTTGACAATAAATAAATTAGAAAGAATTGAAATTGAAATGCTGAAATTCTGGTTAGGCAACAATGATTATAAAAAATAATAAGATGCACTCAAGGGAAAACTTGCAGAGAAAATCAGTTACAATTGATAAAACCAACACAGATGATGAGAGAATATTTCTAACTCGAACCACATCCCTGATACACAGGATCATATATGTGATTTCTTGTACAATCAGCCTAGACAGCATGTTTAAAATTATCATAATGCTGAGCAAACATTAATGTGGATGTTAAACTAGAAGAATAGAAGATATTGCAAAATCTTTTGGCTTCTTTTTTATCAATCTCTTAAGAAAGGGACCAAAGTTCTTTCACATTATTCTCTCTACGAGGCTCTTGATCCAAATATTTTGTGTTGCAAAAGGTTGGATGTCAATGAGTACCACAAAGTGCTAGTTAATCCCAATGATTCCTCTTTAGCACCCCACTTTTCTGATATGCATACTACGAAATAAAAAAGATGAAGTAGGACTTGTACAACCAAATCATTCAACGGTTGCATTTAGCCTGTTTGACTCCATTTAAAACAAAACAATTTATTTTTCATACTCATTTTCAACCATATATTTACACAAGAAAATATTTTGCACGTAAACCCAAAATTTTTCCCACTTCTTAACCCCACATTCTTCAACAAATGCTGAATTCGCATCAAATATGAACTCCACAATATAACTAAGAGCTGGGCATAAGCAGAAAAAAAAAGAATTGCCCGAATGCGAAATTAACCTAAAAATATATTATGGATATTCTTAATCTCAAGCTTTAAGTTTCAGCTGATCATCTCTAAACTAACAATTCTAAGAACCAATAATATCAGAATAATGGATATAAAGCTATCAATCAACTGTAAGTTGCAACTACTAAAGATCAAACTTGGACAAGGCTAAGCTTCAAAATAAATAATTGTTACTCTTTTACATAAAAAGTTAATTAAAGAGTAATCATTATTTATTTTCAAACATGTTTAATATAATACTTTTTACTTCTAATTAAAAAAGTTACTTATTTTGAAAGTAATTTATACAACAAAAATAAGAAAATTTAAGTTACTTTCAAAATGAGTAACTTGCTTAATTCTAAATTTAATCAATAAAAAGATATCTATTTTTAAACTTATTTACTTATAAACTTTTAACGACGGGATATCCCTAGACGAAAAAAAATGTGACGTAATTAGCAAGCAGTAATTAACATAAATAACAAATTGATGCAATCGTTCAACCAATTTAGAAAAAACTGATTCGACTAGAGTGAACCTTTCTTTTTATTTTTATTTTTTTTTTATAGATAATCACGCAATTTTATAAATAAAATCAAAATAGAATACACAAGGAGTGCATTATCAGTTTAAACAAGATAGAAACGATAAAAAAATTCGGCGACCCTTCTATCGGACTAATGGTTGCAGCCTTAAACCAACTATACAAAGTCAAATAAAACACATTGTAGTCAAAATAATTGAAGTGTGATTCGAATGTTTCATCTTTTGATAAACGCATTCGTTTTTCNTACCTTAAAATTTGCAACTTCCTCAGTACAGCGTGTTCTGTGTACGTGTTAGATAAAGGTACCTTTAAGTCAATGTGACATGACCTAAAAATTCATTTTATTTGTTTTTATCGTTTGCTACAGGGTTGCTTAGAAAACACTACTTCATCAAACAGGCAGGACAGAACCTAATTATCTTTACCATTACAACTGACACTATCTAATCTGCAGTAATAATGACTCTTTCTCTTCCCAAAATCCCTATAAATAGCCATGCTCATGCACGTTTCTTTAATCATCACAACAATATCTATTTTTCTCTTCCAAATCCCAATGGCTTTTGTAGCAGCATTACTTTTGAGTTCAGTATTATATTTCTCTGCCTTTTCACAAGGGAATGCTCTGAGTTTTAATTACTACACTAAAACATGCCCTGATGTTGAATATGTTATTGCACAAGTTGTCAGGAAAGCAACCATGAAAGACAAAACTGTCCCTGCAGCACTGCTCAGAATGCATTTCCATGACTGTTTTATAAGGGTAATTTAGTATTTTCGAGGGATATATGGGTTTTTTCTTTTTCTTTTTCTGGGCTAAGTTTTCTCTCTTTATTAATAATTAAAGGGATGTGATGGTTCTGTGTTGCTGAACTCAAAAGGGGGAAACAAAGCAGAAAAGGATGGACCTCCAAATGTTTCACTGCATGCATTTTATGTAATTGACAGTGCAAAGAAAGCAGTTGAAGTTATCTGCCCTGGCATTGTCTCTTGTGCCGATATATTGGCCTTAGCTGCTAGAGATGCTGTTGTGCTGGTAATTAAATATTTAAGCAAATTATGATTCTTTTTTCTTTAAACAATTATGATTTCCTTTTTCCATGACCATTGCACCTTTATAATCAAGCTGGGTAGGACTCGAATGTAGAGGCCTAGGTGCACGACCCGTTGACACATTTTTTTTTTTTTAGAACTAATATGAAAAGTTATGCATAGGACCACACAAGCTGAGATCGGATAGTTTTAGGTCTGACACAAATGCAGGCCACCTTAAAACGTGTACAGCCTGGTTTATACCTCTAAATTAGACACATTTAGTGATATACCCATTGTTTGAATACAAGGAAACTAGTAAGTAGCAGTGCATATCTGGTGGTTTAATCTTTAATGATGTGACAGACTGGAGGGCCAACATGGGAGGTTCCTAAAGGAAGAAAAGATGGAAAAATATCACAAGCCAGAGAAACTAGACAATTGCCAGCTCCAACCGTCAACATTTCTCAACTTCAACAGAGCTTTTCTCAAAGAGGTCTTTCCATGGAAGACCTTGTGGCTCTTTCAGGTAAAACCCAATAACCAACTCAACTCTCTAATGCAAACAAATCTCTTCGCTCCATAAAAAAAAAATATATAAAAAATAAAAATTCCTGTTGCAGGTGGGCACACTCTGGGTTTCTCTCACTGTTCATCCTTCCAGAATAGAATCCACAACTTCAACTCGACCCACGACATTGATCCGACCCTTCATCCATCCTTTGCAGCAAGCTTAAAAAGCATTTGCCCCATCAATAATAAGGCAAAGAATGCGGGCACTAACATGGATCCTTCATCGACAACTTTTGATAACACCTACTACAAGCTAATACTCCAGAAGAAGAGTCTGTTCTCTTCAGAGCAGGCTCTTCTCACAATTCCAAGGACAAAAGATTTGGTTTCAAAGTATGCAAGCTCGAAAAAAGCTTTTAACACAACATTCGTTAATTCTATGATTAAGATGAGCAGCATCACAGGAGGTCAAGAGGTTAGAAAGGATTGTCGAGTGGTAAACTGAAGTCTCTGAGCTTATTCATAGAGAAATTAGACATCCACCTATGGATAATCCAACAAAATTATCATTTGTATGATTGCTTTAATGGTAAAATTGCCTTCTTTGGGCATATCACAGCATGCACAAGCAATAGAATAATATTATTGATTGCAATTTTCAAGCTCAATCTAGTCATATTTGATGGAACAAAGGCTACTGATATTCCTGAAATGCTATTATTTACCCGGTCAATGATGAACAAATTTATGTTCAATGTAGGAAATCTCATCACATGCTCTAGCTATGTTCAAATTTATGAAATGACATCAAGCCTCCTAAAATTCCCTCTGCAACCTTGAATAAACAAGCACTATGAATCTCATGCAAAGAATTATATCAGCTCCTGATTCACAATTTTTATCACCAATGCATCCCAGTTGCCCATCACCAAAGGGTACAATATCAGAAAAATTTGACATAAATAAATTAGAAAGAATTGAAATTGGAATGCCGAAAATATGACTAGTCAAAACTCATTATATGAACAATAAGATGCCTTGAGGAGAAAACTTGCAGAACAAAAATCTGTAACAATTGGAAAAATGCACAAAGATGATGCGAGAATATTTCTAACTGAACCTACATCCCTGACACATAGGATTATACATGATTTCTTGTACAGTTAAAAGCATGTTAAACTAGAGGAAACAGAAGATATTGGAAAATCTTTTGGCTTCCTTTTTTCGTGTTGCAAAAGAATGGACGTCAATGATTACCACAAAGTGCTAGTTAATGCCAATTCTTTAGCATTCCACTTCTCATTGAACTTGCTTTCTGCAAAGCGTGGTGTAGAAGTCAATGACATTGGAGAACTTATATGATATGCATCCCATGAAATAAAAAAGATGAAGTAGGACTTATACATACCAATTTAGATTTCTGTCTTCCCACCGATTCTGTTCTTTGGAGGTCACAATTTGTATATCTGGACCATCCAGTGTGAGTGGTGAATACCTACAAAATGCAAATGGCAAAAGCAAAATATAGCCACAATGAATACATCAAACGAGTTAAATTCAACTTATATTCAAGTATTAAACATATTTTCAACAGCACTTCGTAGTAAATCTCCCAGTGAAGTCTTGTCTCCATGTAGAACTCAACGCAATAATATAAACAATTAGCATTGGGCTTCAATATAGAATGTGTAATGTAAGATAAACAAACATGTCAGTCATCAGTGACTGAGTGAATAATACAAGTCAGAAAAAGGAGATGTGATGGAATAATCTTCTTTATTTCATATCTTCATAGAAGTTCAGCCAAAAATTGTTTACAAATTTATGGTTTCAGCGTCGATTTGACGTAATAAAACTTCACAAAGACCTGCTTGGAATGCTTGTCCCTTTCAATTCTAAATCTCAGAGTTTAATTGATAGCTTTATACTGAGGTCAAAGCAATAAAGAAAAAAACAGAAAATTTTGCAAGTAATGAACCATCAACCCTTGGAATGCTATACATAGACAGGATGAGCACCAAAAGTACGATATGATAGATCTCCAAGGGCACATTAGATATCATTATATACACAATAGATCTTCTTTAAGTAAAAAAAAAAAGCAGCATAACTTGCTAACAAGCCTGATCTATTAGTGGAAAGTTATCTTTCTCCCACAGTAAGCTGTTTCAGAAATAAATATTTTATGCTCAGTCTTGCCTTTTCAAAATCAGTATAAAACATGATGGTCTTGAAAATTAACAATATATTTTGAGCCTTACCTCTGCAAAATGGGTAAGCTTGAAATATTTCTTTCTAATATCAGCATGCCTCAACCTATTGTCATCTTTAACGTCTATCTTCATATAAGCATCATGTTCAAAAACAAATTGCACCTGTCATATGAAAGTTTGTACATGAGGCAATTCAATGGTAGGAGTCACCTCAGAATCAATAAAGTGCTGACCATGTCTCTTTTAGACAGCATGACAACAGAAATTAAATAAGTCAACAACAGCGTTCAATCAGGAAAGCATTTTTCCGAGTTAACCAAAGAAGCGCTTTTAATTCAGTATATTATCTACCAAGTCAACAGCCAGAGTATTTGTTGTGTGTAAATTGTAACACCCAGATAAAAATTGACTAATATTAGGAAAAGAAAATATATTATGCAAAAGGAGAAGCTATGAAATTTAGAACAATCTAGCTTCAGTAATTACTCACCTAGAATATTTCCAAAAGAGGCCTACTATCTGTCAAATCATTTTCAGGAAAACTCCAGAGTTTTGTATTATTCTAACATCTTAATAATCAAAAGCTCAGCAATGTATATGCTCAGCTAGAAGTTTACGCTGCTAAGGTCACTGAGCCTGCATAAAGTTCCAGCTCAACCAATCATTTCTCTCTTCAACATATTTTATGGATGCTCGTGCAAGCTTCTTCCATGTTGAACTGCCACTATTGGCTTTCATGAGGCTGACACTCACTAGAATGATCACCAAAGGTCCTTACATGAGCACTGGCCTCCAACAAAATGATGAAATCTGTTAGCATCTCTTAAAATGATATGCCGACTAAGAATCTTGGATACAAACTTCATAAACAGATGGCAATCCCCACAAATACGGATATTCTTTATAATCCTAATAGGTGACAACGAAGAAGGTTTTCTTATCAATCCAAAAGCAAGGGCAAGTTTCTCACTGTGATAGCATATAGATTCGAGTTTCTCATCTTCCCCCACATTGTGTAAAACAGAACTTTTATTTGGTGCAAATCCAGCTTCTTGTATCTTTTTTATGAGCGAATCTAGTTCTAGATGTATAAGTTCTGATTCAGGATGACTTCGATCTTCTGACGCAAATTTATGGACTTTTCCGTCAAGCTCAATCCAACTGTAAGCAGTGAATTTTTTAACCTGCTTGTTATTCATAAGAGATCTAATGGATGCCACATCTTTCCATCTTCCAAGATAAGCATACATGTTGGAGAGGATTATATAAGGTTCAGCATTGAGTGGATCCAACTTAAAAAGGTTTTCTGCTGCCATTTCTGCATGTTTGATATCTGCATTCTTCCTGCAAACTGATAAAAGGGTTGACCAAACCATGTGATTTGGATTGTGTGGCATCCTTCTTATAAGATCTATTGCTTTGTCTATATTACCTGAACGGCCAAGAAGAGTAATCATGCATATATAATGATCCAAACTCGGTGCCATTCCATGTATCTCTTTGATTGACTGAAAGTATCTCTCCCCCTGATCTGTAAGACCTGCATGAAAGCAAGCAGACAACACACCTACAAAGGTAATATTTTCTGGTTTTATGTCCAACCGGAGCATTTCTTCATAAAGGGCCAACGCTTCAAGATCTTTGCCATTTTGAGCATAGCCTATAAGCATGGAATTCCAAGAGACCACGCTTTTGACCAGCATCCTATTAAAAACAAGCCAAGCATGTGTAATTTCTCCACATTTAGAATACATATCAACAAGGGCACTAGAAACAAGCAAATCACCATCAACTCCCATGTGCACAGTCATTCCATGCACTGCCTGACCTTCAGTCATAGAAGCCAATTTGGCACACGAACTAATCACAGTTGACATAGTAAACTTATCAGGCCTCACATTTTCTAATAGCATCTTCCTGAACAACATCAATGCATTCTCTTCTAGCCCAATTTGCCCATACCCCACAATCATAGCTGTCCAACAAACCTTATCCTTCTCTTTAATCTCCCTAAAAGCTCTACGTGCCTCATCTACACACCCAATCTTAAAAAAGGCACCAATGACATTAGAAATTGTAACTTGATCCAGTTTCAAACCCAAAACCTTCATCTCATCAAACATCTTAATGCATTTTGCGGGTTGTCCATTTCTCAAATACCCAGAAATCATCAAATTCCATGAAACCAAATTCTTATGAACAATCTTATCAAACAACCATTGCGCCATGTCAATCTTCCCACATTTTGCATAAAAATCACACAAGGCATTCAAAACAAACACATTGCCCTTAATCCAAAATCCAGAAACAAATATTTTGCCTAGAATTTGTTTCCCACTTTCTGAATACATCAATTTGGTACAAACTTTCAAAAGACTAACATAAGTGTACTCTGTTGGCACAACTCTTTCCCTCTGCATTTTCACGAAGAATTCCAAAGCCTTCTTTTCACACCCATTAGACCCCAATCCCGCAATCACAATATTATACGAAACTGAATCACGAAAAGGCATTGAGCCAAATAATTCCTTCAAATCTTCAACAGAATCCACTTTAGAATAACCCGATAGCATCACATTGTACGAAAAGATATCTCTTTTGGACATTTTATCAAACAGATTACGGGCGTCTGAAAGCCAACCCGACTGGACATATAGATGTAGGAGGCGGTTGTGGAAGAATGTTGTAGTGGGTGAATACATTAGATATTCCATGTGGGCTTGGAGCCTCTTCGCTTGGTGGGCATCTCGGTTGCGGATGCAATCAAGGAGAAGGCGCGTGTAGCACTCAGTGGTGGCTGTGGTTGCTTCCCTGTATAGCAAGTCTATAGCTTCGCGGAGGCTGGGCTTCATTTTCGTATTACCGAGTAGTTCAATATTTTCCAGTGGCCACTCCTCCCAACCACTCACGCCGCATATACATACATACATGCATACGCGTATCCATGAATTCGATTTTTCTTTGAAAAAATTCTGCAGTTATTGTTTTTAACGTCACCTGAGTTTTTTCGATCAACAGCCGGTAAATTCATTCATCTATCATCACTGAACTGTCAGAAAAAAAAATTTAATTGAATCCTTAAACTTTAATTTATCTCAATTGATTCACTAAATTTTATTTTAACTTCAATTAGATCACTAAACTTCAATTTATTTTACAATCATGCTACATGTACACTCCCTCTTACAACTTTCCTTACACTATTACACGTGACAATATCTACATTCATGATTTTAAACTCATTCATCACATCAATACACAGACCGGTCTTGCTAGGGGTACATCACCCCTTGTGTAAGGGGTAATGTACAAGAAGCATAATTCTATACAAATTCCCTCTACATGAGGACAATGTCAACCATGTTGTAAAAAAATATATACATATAACATTATTCTTTATTTTAAGTTTTCGCACTCCACGTAATTGTTGTGTGGATACCAACTTATCACTCTCATATAGTTTAAAAGTATTTAAATAAGAATGACAATGGAAAAAAGAATTTCAGATCCTCGTGCGAGAGCCAACCCAAACGGGAATTGAATTCTCCAAGTAATCGAGAACAATGGCGAGAACAGTATAAATTTTTTGTCCTTATTAGTAAATATATTTTAATTATTGTAATATGATGATACCAAACCCGAGATCGACACCCGACCCATCATTGATGGACTCCAGCACTCAATTGAGATCGAGTATTATCAGGTCGGGCCCATATTGCATGACCCACTTGGCCCGACCTTACCCCATTATTTTCAGGATTAGGGTTTTGAGGTCGAGTTTGTTAGATTGGGCCTTTAGATATGTGCAAACATATCCTCTAACTCACGTATCCTCCCCCTCATCTCACGTGCCCCTAGAACACTAGTTCAATTCAAACATACACCAACTCTCCAGTTACCTTAACTCGGTTAATAAAATCCTAGCACAATACAAACACCTCACATGAAGGAATACTTGTCCATCTAGGACTCAACAACCATCCTCTTTAAATATGTATCCTCTCTTCATTACTCAGGTACATTTTTCAATAATATTCCAGCATATATTTTGTGATTCCTATCTCTAACTTAATCATCAAATGGACGACGAAGACACACCTCGACGTCTTTGTTTCAAATATTGAAGATCATAGCGTGCGGAGTTCAAACATCCTGTCCAAGTCAATCCAGGTACAAATTTTGGTAGCATCACACGTNAACCCAATTTCCCTGTAAGTGTAGCAACTCTCAATCGTCATATGAATAATAAGTTGTTCGAGCGAAAAATTGCAGGTCAAAAATCTATAACAATTGAAACAAAGCATAATGATAATGTCAAAATACTTCTAACTAGACCTACATCCTGATACACAGAATTATATGTGTTTTCTTTCAAGTTGACAGCCTAGAAAGCAAGCCCAAAATTGTCTTAATGCAACTCTGCCAGCAGCCTATGGAACATTGATGTGGATGTTATACTACAAGGTCGATGTGGATGTTATACTGTAGGAATAGAAGATTCGCAAAATCTTTTCGCTTCTTTTTTATCAATCTCTAAAGAAAGGGACCGAGTTTTTCTCATCTCTCAAGATCAGGCTCCTGATGCAAATACTTTCAGAGTGCTACAAATGTTCCATATCAATGAGTACCACAGCATGCAAGCTAATGCCAAGGATTCTTCTTTGGGGTTCCACTTCTTTTCGAGCTTGCTTTCTGCGAACAGGTGGGAAACAAGTCAATGACGTTACTATTAAAGAAAATGGATAGAGTAGGACTTGTACACACCGATTTAGCTTTCTTTGTCTTCCCACGGATTCTGTTCTTTGGAGGTTTCAGTTTGTATATCCGAACCATCCAATGGTGAGTAGTGAATACCTATACAATGGACACCGAGCAAAAGGAAACTATGACAACCACGAACGCTCAGATGAATTAACCATTCAACTTAAATTCATGGATATGAAAGTGGTTTCAAAAGGACTTCTGCAGTAAACCTCCAGGTGAAGTCTTGTCTCCAAGTCTTAACATAATCAACAATATACACTATTGGACTTGGGCTTCAATGAAGAATTGGTAATATACGATAAAAAGACATGTCGATTGTCGTTTTAGTGACTGAGTGAATAATACAAATGAGACAAAGATGTGATGGAATAATCCACCCTCATTTCAAGTCTTCGTAGAAGTTAGGCCAAATATTGTTTACAAACTTATGGATCAAACTTCATTTGACATTAAAATTTCATAAAGAACTGCTTGGATGCTTGTACCTTTCAATTTTGAATCTCTCAGTCTAATTCATGGCTTTATATTGAGGAAGAGACAAAATATAACCCTTGTAGCTAAAAATTAGATATTTAGTAGATTTTGAAAAAAGTTGATGAAATGTGTAGTTGAAAAGTTGATAATAGTTGTGGGTCCAATAAAATGTGTAGTTGAAAACGAGTTTTAGGAAAAATATGTTTTAGAAAATGGGGGCCAAGAGGGGCTTAGTAAATAATGACTATCAACCTTGGAATGCTGAATATAAACAGGATGAGAACCAAATTAAGATGCTGATAGATCTGGCAAGGTCACATGCATAAACTCTTAATTTCTTTCCACGGTGCCCAAATAAAGATGCAGTTGAAGAAAGAGCCAACACATCAGATATCATTATCCACACAGGATCTGCACTAAGTCATATATTATTACTTGCAAACAAACCTAATTGATGAGTGGATAGATATCTGTCTCCAACAGTATGATGGTTCGGAAATGAAGATTTTATGCTGTCTTGCCTCTTCAAAATGAGTATGTTTAAAAAGTATGATGGCTTCGGAAATGAAGAATTTATTCTGAATCTTACCTCTTCAAAATGGGTAAGTTTGAAATATTTCTTTCCAATTTCAGTATTCCTCACCCTATCAAAGCCTTTACCATCTGTCTCCACAAATCTGTAATAAGAAAACGTGATTAATTTAAGGAATAGAAAGAAATTAATGTATGGATATAAGCACCATGTTCCAAACAAAATTGCACCTGTAATATGAAAGTTTGTACATGAGACAATTCAGCATGGTAGGAGTGGCTTGAGAATCAATCCGGTATTGACCATCTCTCTTTTAGACAGTAAGACAACAGAAATTAAATTAGAAGTCAACACAGAGTTCAATTAGGAATGAATTTTTCTTACTTAACCAAAAGAAAATCACTTTTAATTCAGTTATACTGGATACCAAGTCAACAGCCAAAGCATTTGTAATGTGTAAATTGTAATAGCCAGATAAAAAAATAAGAATCTTTTGCATGGTGCGACACCAATGTAGTTCTGGTATATGACACAGGGAGATAGGTAGGTAGGTAGGTAGGTAGAAAGGAAGAAAGCCAGGCGGCATATAGATGAGGGGGACAACAGGAAGGAAAAAAATCCCAAAATGTGGTTTAATGGTACACAACATATGAACACGTGCTCGGATGACCCCTGCTCAAATAAGTGAAAGTTAGCAATAATCAAACTAATAGTAAACCTGTTAAGTGTACGAGTCTGTCTGAAACAAGGATTTCAGGAATTCTACCATAATTTTCCCTTTGTCAGCATCTGAGGATTTTAGAATCTAAAATATATTTAGTCAAGACAAGGTCCTTGGATGTATTTTTGTCATCCTTCAATCACAATGTGTTGCTAATTCAGAAAATGAATCGAACCCATAAAGAGGGTCCCGCATGTTGAAGAAAATAATAAAAATGATTTGCCCTCTAGTATCTTAAGCTTCTCATAAACTAACATAGCATGTTGCGGTTGCAAAAGAAGTAGCTGCTAGCAATGAACCAAAAGTAATGGCGGAAAAGTATTCACATAGCCAATCCCAAATTTAATGGGAATAAGGTTTAGTTTGTTGATGAATCTAAAACTTCTCGATGAGGTGACCATTCTATAAAATCTACATATTTTCAAATTTTTTATGATACTGATATATTCTTGTTTTGGATCAGAGACACCTTTATTGGTTTCAAACATCTTATATTAGACAAGGTGATACCAATTTGGCACATGCCATGCCATAATCACATTGTTTTAATTTGTACCTCTTTCAATTTTTTCCTTAGCTGAACAAATGAAAAACTCCACCAGTTATTTGACAGTTGGCTACCCCACCCCCCAACAAGAAAGAAAAAGTATTAAAAAAGGGATTGTGCACTAGAAAACTAAATTCTTAAGTGACAGATTGTGAGGATGAATTCCTCGAATCAATCATTCCCAAAAGTATCAATTACGTTTTTTTATCAATACAATGAAGAAATCATGCAAAGGCTTTCCAAAGATAAGATATATCCATGTAGATAGTATTCAATTAAACATGGTCCACGTGCTTGATATTTGATTGCCAAAATAAACATTACGATAATAAACAGAGAATTGACAGTGGGAAGATGCAGCCAGAGAGTTGACTAGGAAAAGCAATATAGAATCCTGTACTCACCAAATAATCAGGTTCCTTAATATGAGGGAATACACCACCTCCTATTCGAACCATCCATAGGAACTTGTTAATGTCGTCACTAGGGTAACCAACAAGACCTGAAATGAAAAGTCAGTCGATAGAATAATCTGTTCCTTATTCAGGAAAAATTGCGCCTAAAATAGAATTGCAGAACCAACCTCCAAAAACAACAAGAACATATTTTACATCCAATGAATTGAAAATTTCCCAAGCTGCTTTTTCAGGAGAGGACATTGCAGTACCAACGGTTGCAATATGTGTGTTGTTCCAGGTATTATTGTCAACAATAACCGTGCGGTTTGCCATGGCAGTTGTTTGGTAACCATAGTCCCACCACGAAGCAACCTAGATGAAATCAGTAAAAATAAATAAATAATAAAAATAGAATATTAATGACTTTCATATCCCTCAAAGATGCCATATTGGCTTGAAGAAAGTTGTGTGCAAAACAAAAAGCTGGTTAAACTTGCAGGGAGCGAGGGAGGGTAATGTTTTTGTGTGCATGTGTTGTGTGATTATTCAGGTATGTATACTACCTTAGTGATGGGGATCGTAGTAGAGATATTATATGGAAGACTTACCAATTTAAATACATATTTTAGGAAATGTAATTAGGGTTTTATTTTATAGATTTTATAGTATTTTATATTATTTCTATAGTTGTTTCCTACTTAAATTAGGTTACTTGAAAAAACCCTATATAAAGAGGTTTTATCATTGTAAAATTCAAACTTCATTATTGAATAATAACTCTTTCTCTTCTCTATTGTTCTCTGTATGTCTGATTCCTCTCCCCTTTCTAACTACCCCTCTTCTTCTTCTTCTCTCTCTCTCTCTCCCATTCTTCTACAAGTCTTGTTCTTGCAGGGGCAGATACAGGCACGGGCTCGACTGGACTACAGCTCGAATCCGCCCCTGCAAATGTCCACTTTTTTAATTTTTTTAATAAAACCCATGTACATTTGTATTGCAACCTGTGTCCAAACTCATGGCTGAATCAGCCACTGTGTTCTTGTTTATTACATCATATGTCACATAGACATAATGTGTTGCACGCTGCACAGGACAACCATGACTTCACAAGCAGGGCCATGATCTTACGTAGCCAAGGAGAAGCATTGCCATCCTTCATGTTCTCAAATTCCTTTACAATCCATATTTCCTCTCAAAGTACATAAACAAGCCCTTCTAAAAATGTTGACTTCTACCCTCCACTCTTTTCCATGTATTTATATATATTTAGTTGTAGGACTCACTAGAAGTCAGTCCTTTCTTGTATTTATATAAAAACAGTTTAACGTAGGGAGACCTATTCTCCTTGCACTTGTATGAGATACATTTCAGTCCCCAAGGACCACAGCACAAGCCAATCTTTAAAGGTTTATTCGCAAAATCTTGTTAACTTTTTTTTTTTTTTTTTACGTGGATACAGGAAAGAACCTATTCTTTCTAACCTTTTTTCTTTCGATGGTATAATGACGTTCAGTACAATCAAAATTCAAAACCGTACATATTCACATTCAAATATAATTGAAACAGTTACAGAAAGAACTAAACATCACATTCACTTTCCTAATTGCTGACCGTGGCAACATAATTGACTTCGTTCCACAGGCTTGTCCAAATATTGGGAGTGACGCATATGTTTCATGAGCAACATAGACCAGTACTTAACAGGTATATCTACAGGGAGTTTCTTCAACTCTATCTTCCTCTAAATAGTAAAAGTATAGAAGCAATAATTTTTTAACGCTATGCATGGGTGGTATAAGGTGTAATCCCACCCCCAGGCCGATCAGTAGATGGATAGAGGTTCATTGTGTCAAATACACCACTCCAGAGTCTATGTACAGGAATCATTTCACCTATACTATCACTGAAACCTCCAACAGTCATAGAACTAGTACTATTGTGATGAAAAACTGATTTCAGCCAACCACAATATATTGATTATATGGTTAAAGAACAAGAATGCAGTTAATAAAAAATAAGAGGGACAAGAACTTACTTTATCATCCACCTCAGTGTTATGACGCAACCAACCGTAAGCCTCTCTAAAATCATCAAAAACATGAAGGCCATCATGAGATCGAGAAGTTAGCACAATAGAGGGTGCTGAATAAGCCTCTGCCGCAGCCCACACACAATGAACCTACACAGAAAAAATTTCTTAATTAGATAAGACAAGAAAAAAGAAAAAGTAGGAGACAATATGCTAGCAAATGTGATTTTTAATTCAATACCAATTGTTAAATGGATCAACACTAAAAGCTTTTATATATAAGATTATCTAGAGACAATTCTCATCGACAAGCCATGTGTTCACTTCAGACAACCCCTGGCACCGAGTCTAAATTTAAAGTTAACAGCTAGAAAAACGGATGATACAGCAGAGACATTTACAGCACAAGTCAACATGTCAAGTATTAGTACCAAGTTTCCATATAATAACAAACAGCAAAATGTGACACATAATTGACGCACAATTACTTCAAACCCTTATCATAGATGACGATACATCTCCCATCAGACCACTGTTATACATTCGAAGGTGTATGAGATCTTGTTGTGTGGCACACATAGAGTGGAACACAGGTTTACTGGATCAAAATGGCCGATAAATACAACATGTTATTTGTCTTGGCTCCAAATAAATTGAAAATTGCCAGGTAAGGTTAAATTTAATGCCACTTAATTTTGTCTTATCAATAATGCTGAAGATATTGAGAATTTCTTCCTTGCATAAATTTAAAGATTCTCGAAGCTCCAAGTTCAGTTATTAGTGGAACCATCAGGTCAACCTTATAAAATTGTATTTGTATTTTCTTTTCCTTGGAAACTTAAATACTTCATCACGAGATGAAACAAACAACACCTCTCTCAAGCACAATAAACAAAGGTCATATTAGCATAGATTGACAAGGAAAAAAAAAGGAAAGATGAAATCAAAGGGAAAAGCACAATAGTCGTGTAGTTTTTAGAGGATATAATGTTCATGTTCAGATAATCCGGATATCTTGATTTAATCAGAATCCAAAATCATATAAGAAAGCATACCACATAAAAGGCACCCAGCAACACAAGCAAGAAAATAGCAATGATGGAAGCCTCCAATGGTAAAACCAAAAGCCTCTTTTCAATCTGGGGTACAACAGAAGCCCTTTCCACTTTGTCCTTTTCCTTCTTCTTGTTTTTTCTTGAAGGACGTTCCTTCAGTGAGTCTTCACTTTTCTCAGTCTTCACCACATCATTTTGCATAACATTACCAGCATCCCCTGCCTTAATGAATATAAAAAGAATTTTAGTCCAAAATAATTAAAATTATCACCAACAACCAAAATATAGATTACTAACATTGACAGGGGAATTTTGAGATACACCAGGCAGCTGAAATTTAATCGATCGAGTAAAAACTCCAAAAGCTTCTGAAAGAGCAATTCCAGACATTATGCATGCTGCCGGAGCAAGCACAAGCATTAGACGCACCTAGAATATCAGCAAAAGTAAGTGATGCCCAAAAATAGTGGGAGATGAAGTTGAAAGATAAGTTAAATATCACATGCAGGTAAGATTCCAGTTATCCGTACCATGACACCAGAAAAATATACTGATGTAGCTATATAAAGAACTGCGAACGAGCTTGCGTCAGATAGTGGCAAAAAGCACGCCTGCAAGTTCCAACAGAAAAATTAACAGCAAATATTATAAGGGTAGATAATGATCCAATCCAGATACTTCAATCCTCTCAAACTTTAATGAATATTGAGAACTTACAATAATGCCAGCGGGAACCAAAAATGCCAAGACATTAATGTCCATAAAGTAAGACGGCCATGTAGGGGGTTGATGTTCACTAACACTGGCAATAATTGGTATATACTTGCTTGCATATGTTCTGGCTCAGATCAGGAATCAGGAAAGGGAGGATAAAAGAAAACTATGTCAGAAATGCTGCCAAGCTCATAACTATAAATATACCAGATAGGAAACGCTATGTATTACTATTAAGCCTATCTTTACTATTGGGGATTCCGAAGATTCCACACATACTAATAAAAGAATACAAAGAAAAGAAGATTATATAGTATAACATGTTATCTACCCTTAGCATCTTACACACTCAAAATGAACAATGAAAAATATGGACTAGTCAGAAATTGATTAGCGATCTGAAGCATAAATGTGTCTGACAGATTTTCAACAATTTAAGTTTATAGTAGGGGTGTCCAAAAGTCTCGAACCGAACTGGACCGGACCAAACCCGAACCGAATCGAGCGGTTCTTCATAAATTAAATACCCGAACGGGTACCCGAATCGAGAACCGATGGGTTTTGATCGAGTCTCGGGTCTAGATCAAGAACCGAAGAACCGAATAAGAACCGAAACTAAATAATTTTTTTATTTTTTATATTGAATTAATTAAATTATTTTATTTTTTTCTAAACAAATTAGCAAATTAATTAAATAAATCAGATTATTTTACAATTTTAATTTTAAAGCTCAAATCATTTTTAAAGTTCATTAGCCTATTTTAATTTGAAGCAAATGAATATACTTTATGTAGTGTTGCTGTAATATTAATATCTATTTTTTGGTATTTGTATGCATTGAATTAATCTTATTGGACGGTTATTTATTTATATGTTTTTGAATTGGGCTACGTTAATTTGTAAAAGTTACGAATGAAATGTCATTAGTTGTATTTATGTAGTGTTGCTGTAAATATTAAAAAAATTTAATTATGATACGGAACCGAACGGACCCGAATCGACCCTAACGAAACCGAACCCGAACGGTTCCATAATTATATTTGAACCCGACAATTTCATTTGTTAAATACCCGAAGGTTTTGAGTCGGTTCGGGTCTCTTCAGAACCGAACCGACCCGACCCACGGACAGCCCTAGTTTATAGTCAAACTCTAGGACTGGAAGCCAAAGATATTAGATATTTTTCCAACTAAACAACTAATACAGCCTTGTTAGAGTAGGAATCAAGCAAGATACCAAAATATCCAAGATATGTTACAGCTAATGACCCACGGAATAACTATACATGGAAGTGAGCAAGTTATCGAGCCAGAACGATAGTAATTTCTACAGCTTAGAAAGACAATTAAATGTTTATCAGTCAATGTCCACAGTTATTACTCAATGATATTAAATGAGCAATGCTTAACTAAAGCCATCAGCCAACAACAATGATAGCAAAACCAACCTTATGAATTTCATTATTGCAGTGATGGGGAATAAAGATATGCTTTAGGAGATATATGATTAGCAATAGAGTTTATTTAAACTATGTCTAACTTGTATTGGTGAACTAGGATTTTGTTGATAAGTTTGGATTAGATAGTTTTAATATTTTGATGAGTCGATAGCTTATTATAAGTTCCCTTTAGTTTAGATTCTTACCCTATAGAAGAGAATATAGGATTTCCATTAACAACAGTGACTTGAATTATTGATTAATTGAGATTTTCCTTCTAAATTCTTCTTCTATCTTCTCTAATTTTCTCTTTAAGCCTCTTCTTCAGTTCTCCTTATTCTCTTCTCTTTTATTGTTCTCTCCTCTCTGTTTCTCTCTTCTCCTCCTTTATTTAGTTCTTCGTAAAGTTCTGCATCAATTTGGTATCAAAGCCTACTCTTCCCTCCGACCGAATTCTCACAAAAGTTTTGTTCTCGTATTGTTTGATATCCACCTCCATTGTTCATCCAAAAGTACCATTCATTCAGAAGTCAAAAGAAAAAATGATTGTCAGCATACATGTTTCAGTTTTGTAGCAACAAAGCCAATCCACTATAGACTGACTGCTGATTGAAGACCCACATAAGCAAACCAATACGACAAAAAAGAAAAATACAACAGGTTGAATTGCACGATGAAGAGGTTGGCTCAAAATAGCCGAACAAACAAAGCATTGGAAGTTGTTGCATGAGGCTATCAGTAAAAGGTAGAAGCAGAACGCTCCGACTGGATTGCAAAACTAGCAATAACGTCTTGGCTACGACATAACCACTACACTCCAAGTCAACATCATTTAGTGGAGACGAGAATCAGTTTAGCTTGGAAAGAGTTTAACTTGAAGGAGCCTAGTTCTCTTAGCAAAGAAATGATGGGGAATAAAGGAAAGCGATAGGAAAAAAAGGATTAGCAGTCCCCTTGAGTATAGATTGTTGCTCTGTAAAAGAGAACCTGGGATTTCAATTTACATTAGACTATTGATCATATTAAATCCTCCTCTACAATCTTTCTTACACAGCAAAACCTTCTCATGGAGTTTGGAAATGATATCTTTTTGTTTGCAAAGCACATGGTGAAGTAGCAAATGAAAAGGCACCATATAAAATCATAAAGCAATTGCAAGGAAGAACTTACGGATCGAGCAGGCTCAAACTTCTTCCACTCCATCCTTTGGTAGGGCTAGAAGCTACCAAAGCTATTAGTACAGCTAACACAGCCCCACAAACTATCCTGAACATTGATTATGAGTGCATAGTGAGAGAAAAATATAAAATTCATGACTACACAATATCCTACTTAACTTTTCATTATTTTTCCACATGAAACTGCTGCTTTTCCACTCCTTACAAGTTATTAATAAGGGAGTCAAAAAAGAAATAAAATTCTTCAATTCTAGTTCATCGTGTGCTGCTTTAGTTTCGTATTACCATTACCGTGCTAGTCACATAATATATTAGTTAAAATTATTTGAATTTACAGGCAAAGTAAGCTTACAGGCCAACGGATACTACAAGAGTAACAGCTACTTTAAACATTTGTGGTGAGATCATCCCTTTGATATAGTACACAAGAGCCACGACATGGATAATAATAAAGACCTGTATGTTACCATCAGAAAGAACAGTGTCAAATGACTGAAGACATTCAGAAACTTAGGATAACATGGGAGCAATTGTACATAGTATCTGTAAGGAGCAGCATTAAACATAATCAGACAAATATTGATGGAAAGCTAACAATGCCATTATGTATGTGAATTACAATAATATCTCAATTTCATTTCCTTCTCTCTGAACATTGGTCCTTCTCCCAACTGCCCTTTCACAACAGAAGGTACTCAAAACGTCAACTTCTCTGTATATCATAAATTGTGATAAGGAGATCTTACTCTCAGATAAAGATGAGGCAAAAATTTGGCAGACCCAATATAGCAAAATGAGTTTAGTTCTGAACCGATAATTTTCCTTCAACGAACAATCATAAGATTACCTTTGCCCATTGACAGGGGAAAAAAAAAGGAAAAGATTGCTACATGACATCACATATATGGAGATTACGAATGGAGGCTGGTTCATGAGCCCTGTGGGTGGCCATTGTTTTATATCTAGTAGATAATTCTCTTTATAATTGTATTGATACAACTTACAAGTGGCTCACATAATTTTCTGAAAAGTATGCCTGAAACCTAATGGCGTTCAAATAAATATCTATAAGCCCTAATGATTATCAAAACAATATAAACATTTTGTCTTTTACCTTCTAGTAACAGAGCTTTGAGTCCTAAATACCATGAATGGTTCAAACATCTAAATCCAAAGTAGAGGTTCAATGCCAAAGGGCCCCAGTCCAGATATCAAGTTTTGAATAGTAATGCGTCAGGGAGAGTTTTACAGCTATAGTCGCATGTGTAATGGATCTAGTTCAACAACAAGGACTATAAAGCCCTCATAAACATCCAAAGAGCATATGCTTAAATTTGACAGTTTGATATGAAAAGATAGAATAAAAAATCATTGATGTTCCAAATATAGCCCCTATTTGGTATGGATTAAAATTAAGATTTTAATCTAAGTCAAAGTCAGCAATTAATTTTAACCACACATTTTATGGACCCACAACTTTTCAACCACACATTTCATCAACTTTTATCAAAATCTACTAAAAATCTGATTTTAATCCCCATTAAACAGGGCATAATTTGCAGATAATTCCGGGAACATCTCCAAATTAAACGCAAATATATGCATACAAAAAAACCCATCATTAGAAAAATAGATGGTAGACTAGTGTGCTGGTAAAAAACTTACTAAAAATGATGCAAAATGCTCAGATGTCATGACAGCATTAAAACCTACAACTGGCACCAAAGATGCTAACAACGTCCCCAAGACAACCTGCATTACAATAATTTAAGGATAACAAGAGCTAAATTAGAGCAGTGTAATCAAAGAAGCTTACGTATTTAAGAATAGAAAAGATAATTCTGTAACAAATATGATACTGAATTAAATTGCAGTATACTGAATTGAAATTCCTCCAAAAATCACCCACATAAATTAAACTTGTACCCATTGTCTAAAAATCTCGATTGAGGCCTACCTCAATGAAAGGCGAGCAAAAATGCCTCAAGCCACTAATTGTGAGCAGTTTTCAGAGGCACAAGACTCGAGGTTCGTGAGGCATGCGCTCATTAATTATCCAAAATTATTAACTTTGCTCTAGGTGTGGGCCCACAAAACATTAGAAATTTTCATTGATCCACTTTCTGAATATCCCATTGCCCCACTAACTATTACTAAAACATTTTAAAAAAAAAAAATTGTAATTAACCCATCTTGAGAATCAGCTCTTACTAAAACATCAAAGAAATGGTCTCTCTCACTTTGGGAATACTAAAGTAGTAGTTTCTTTGTTGTTACTCCATAGATATTTCTTTTATTGTTTGCACACTTTCGGTTACATTGCACAGCAGCAAATTCACCTCTCAATGCCTATAGTGATTATCCTACAGATTCTAGCTTAGGTGCTACAAGGAACTTTCAGCTGTAGTGCTACAGGACATCTACCAATTTGTTTGAAAAATTTATTACAGATCATATGCACTAAAAAACTTGGAAGTGGAGCATATGTTTGTACAGGCAAGAAGAATGGCGTTGGCAAACTTGTTTAGGATTCATGTGTTACGATACTTACAAGCGGAGCATATGCAATGTAGAGGCGAGAAGAGTAGCGACCAGTAACAATGCACAGCAGGACGTGCATGGGAATAAGATTTATGATGAAAGTATACCCTCCCCAAGAGCAAACCTGAAAACATGCATATAAAAAGATAGTTATAGAAGCTATCAAGCATGGGATAGAAGTGAAAAGAAAACAAATTAGTGAATGTACCATGTAAAAGTATGCTATGGCATTTAGAGTAGCATAGAAAAGAGATCCTGTATTCAATGCCTGCAGCCAGTCCAAATATTAGTAAATTACACGAATGTTAATTGTCCAAAATACTGCAGTAAAAATACATCAGAAATTTACGGGAAAAGGGGATCGAAGCATGTCATGAAAATATATGCATTCTAGAGCACACAAAGGACTTTATCCAAAAAACAAAAAGAGCGTAATACAAAGCACACAAAGAGCTTTAGCTGAAAAACAAAAATCACCTTTATATAGAGATAGAATGTGAAGATCAAAGCAAATATAGCTACAGCTTCATTGTCATAGCTGCCAGCCACAGATCGAGATATATAAGATGGAACCTGAAAAAACATGGAAAGCGTCTAACACTCTGATGACCATGGAGAATCGAAATTCTCACATAAAAAATGCAGCACCTATAACAAATATACACCATGTTCATATAAAAAGGCAACAGCATCCATTAATATTATCTCTAATAAAATTAGACATGAAAAGTCTCAAGTACAGAAAATACAAAACTATACAACTTGAAAGTAAAAGGTACTTGGAGCAGGTATGGGGAACATGGTCTTTGCCCCCTTTAAAGTCCATTTCAAGATCTAATCACACACAAGAAAATCATAAGCATTTCTAAAGGGAACATGGACTATTCTACAAATTGCAAAAAAGTAATGATCTTTACCAACTAAACACATTGAAAAAAATAAAAGTAAAAAACAAAAAAAAGAAGAAAAAAAATATAAATGGGACGCTAAACGGGGCAGGGGGCCTGGCTGGCCCCTTCAAAAAGGAATAGGGGCAGGATAAGGGGGAAAACTTGAACGGGGCGGGTGTGTTGCCCTCCCTAGATCCTACTGTCACGGTTTTGATTTCTGATGCTCCAAAGGAAATCAGGCCCTCAACACCTTCATTCTTATATTATCACTTTTTTTGATAGGTATTCTTATATTATCACTCAATTTGCTTTTTAAAAATATTTTTCCTTATTAAAAGAAGTTATATTCAATAAATGCACTAACAGTTCATTCAAATGTTTATATGCATTTTCTTTCATACATCTTCATAAAAACAATGCACAAGATTACAAACATCGCCTTAATACCAGAAACAAAGTGGAAATGTTTTGATGCTATAATAGCTTGTTTCAGTTTGGTTAGTTAATACATTCATTGCCTCTTTCTTCATGCTAGAGCAAAGTGATCGTTGCTTTATTGTAGAATATGCCTCTCACGAGTTACCCAGCCTACTTCCTTCAACTACGTCCTTCAACTGGCAAGTCCAGCACTATCTTATCTTGGTCTTTTATCAGCAAGTCTACCCCATTACTTCCACAAAATGTTGAACACACTGCATGATGTCTACCATCATCTATAACCTTCAAAAACTATATATTGACAGACAAAAGTGTTCTCCTAATTTCAAAGCTAAACTTTACTCAATAATACAACTAACTGATTATTAACCATCCTTAAGACATTTTGATTATAGAGAGTTGGGCAATGTTAAGTATGGAAAACTTAAACTGCCTCTTACACTTACTTATTTCCTTATCCAAACAAAGGCCAATGTTATTTATATGCAAGAGAACAATACATTGACAATTTTAAAATATAGAATTCGATAAGGTGTATTTTCGCATTAATTTTGACTTTTGAACAGAATTCGGTTATGTCGTAGCACAATTTGCACAAGCCCATCCGTGTTAAAAGAACATTCAGTGTTAAAAAAGTTTACACAATAGTGGAAACGAAAATCAAAAACAATTGTGTTTCTTTTCCATTTCCTCTCAAGTCTCTCAAAATTTTCACCTAATTTAAGCTCCTATATCAACTTCATCAACCATGAGAGATTAACTGCTTGAAACAAAAGTCACAATAGATGTTATGTTCACTTCAATGATTTTGACTTATCTGGACCTCAATTATCCCATTTTGTGATTTTTCTAAATTTCTGCAAATTTATCTCCCCTCAACCTACATTCGAAAATGCATTCGCATAACACCAAATGACCTATCAACAAATTTATATCCTCCAATGTTCAAAATGGTAATACAAGATATGCAGATCATTTAACTGTCGATTCCAAAATTTCGTAAACTATCTGAATATACTTCCATACTTTATAGGCCTTACAAATGAGTTCTCCACATACAGTTATCAAATCGTACCTCAACGCCTTATTTCTAACGGTTGATTTCATTAGCTATACAAGGCTGAATGATTTTCAGTGTAAAATATAATCCAAGAATTATGCCAACCTATAGTCATCTCCATAAAATTTTGCAAAATCTCTAAAAAGACTTGTGCAATCATCAACCATATAAAACTAAAACACTAAGACAAAATTGGAGGGAGCAAAAATTGAAGAATCTGATGAACTGCAATGAGTTCAATGTGGAAGTGGTTCTTCTCATCATATTTGGCCAACAAGTCAGAATATACGTAAAATTATCATAAATTAGACACTGATATATGGATAAATAGAATAATCAACACAAAAATTGCAGAAAAAGAATGCAAGGGACTACTGTTCAGAGTTTAAAATGCCACAGATAAACAAAGATGTGCATAATCAAAATACCATGGCCAAAAGAGCTGCAGCGGTCAATCCAGCACCAACGCCTTTGACTTCCTATACAAGTATTTGTGATTGAGAAACAAATTCCAACAGAACATCTTGCACGTGTCCTGTTAGCTAAAGTTAAGCTCTTGTTTGGGCTCCATTTTAATGGAAATTTGGGGGGAAATGAGTTTTGAAATAGTGATTTTTTTGGAGAATTTGTGGTTAAAAAATAAGAAAAAAATTTCAATTTACGTGTAATATTATTTGATGGGAGAATGTGTGGTTAAAAATAAATTTTGAAAAAAAATAGTTTTTGAAAAAATGGGGGCCAAACATGGGCTAAGAATCACGAGTGAAATAGATCCATGGATTGATCAAGCAAAAGAAAAAACCTTGGTCAAAAGGTACGTTGCCCAAGAAGCAAAAGCTGAAAAAATGGGAGCTGTAAACACACAGACAGTTTCCACTGATAGCGGTATATTCAAAGTGTTCAATATCCTGCCAAAAAGAGGCAAAGGTCAAAACCATCACGGTTGCACGCCTTAAACATCATAAATAAATTGCAAGGCAAAAATCCTCAGCTAAAACTGAACCATGATAGAGGAAAGAGTGATCAGTTCTTGAATTGGTCAAAATCATAAACAACCAAATTATAAGAATTTATTAGTTTTGTAATTTAATACAAATGTAGATTATATGAATGTGGTTCTAGTGCTAAAAGAATCCACAATGGATTATTATACAGACCGCCATAAGGTTCCGGCAGTCAACGTGAGTCCCGGGTAAACAGTTCCCCCAATAACCCGTCCAAGAGGATACCTATGTAACATTAAAGAAAAAACCCAGTTGAATTCATATATTATTGACAATCAAAACTAGCTTATAAAAATGTTTTTGAGAAACATTTGGGCACCAGCAAAAGTAGCCATTACCAGGTCCGGTCATCGAACCAATTCCAAAAGTCATATATTCCATTCTTCGTCAAAAACTGCAAGGAAACATATGAAGAATGAGGAGTTGCAAAAATATCCTCATAATAGTTGATACAGTTA